CAACACTGCTGGAGATCTATGAGATCTGATCCATGTTTTATAATGAACTTCCTACATAACTAAAAGCTGCTTCCCCAAGTAGTAACACTAAAGCATGGACTGAAGGACCTGGCAATGTTGTTTCTGTCCCAGTTGTGGCAGCATTACTCTCAACCTATCATTCCTGTGACCCTTCTCCTAGGGTTCCAGCCACAAAAGTAAAGAGCCCTTTAGCAACCTCTTGCTCCCCCAATCATGGGAAATGCCACCAGTTCTCACCCTGCAGCAATAGGGATACATGAATCAAGCTCTCGCACAAAGTCTTTCCAGATACAGAGAGTGAAATTCAGCCCTGAGCTGAGAGCCAAGGGCAGCCCAAGGTCTAGGTACCAACTATACCCCACTGGCCATAAGCAGGATCTGTGTGCTACCTAGGCCTTTGGCTGGCCTCAGATTCACCTATGCATAGCAGAACAAATGCAGCTGAGTCTGCCTGGCTATTGGTCAGTGCAGGGTGATGGCAGGATAGACTTGCACTTAAACTAACAAAAGTATATCTATCTATCTATCTATCTAATCACAAGCTTTCACGGGCTGAAGCTCATTCCATCAGATGCTGTGGCTGTGAAGGGTGAGAAAACAAACAGTTTGGGCCTCCAGAGACAGAAACCAGGGGGTTAAAGGGCCTCACCTATGTGCCATCCAGGAAGCACTCTGTCCCCTGGCTCTCTCAGGCAGCAAGTCCTGGAGATGCTGGCACACCAAGCCAATCTCCCAGGCCACTGAGTGCTCAGCCCACTCAGCACTGGACAGTGCCTCCTGGTTCCAGAAGGCCGTTTCACCCTGCTTGGCTCGCAAGAGGCACTGCTTCTCCTCCAGTTGCTGCAGCCTTGCTCTCAGTTGGTCATGCTCCTGTATTGTCTCCTAGGGTCATAACCACAAGAAGAACAAGCACATTAGCAAACACAGTAGTGATGCATAGGGGGTGCACGTGCACCCCCTGACAGGGCTGGTGCATCCCCTGTCAGGCCGCACTCCCTGTTTAGGCGATGGGCAGAGAGACAGGCAGGAGCACAGGGTTCCCCACCCCCTGTAAGCGCCGGCTGGGTAGTGGGACTGCCAGCAAAAGTGGCCATGCTGCTTCTGGAAGTGGCATGGCTGCTTT